TTGGAGAGATTCAAGAGCATCGAACCCCTGCCAAAGTCAAAAAGTGCCCAATGCAGCAAGAATCCCTCTTCTCTCGCCAACAGAATCATTGTGCGACTTGTGAGGAGTGGCTCACATCACGCTGCACCCGACATTCACCGCGGATTCTCAACGCCAGACGGTCTAAATCCGTCCGAAGACAACGTGCGACGTTGTCTGAGAGATGCTGGGCACTTCTGACGTAGCTCAGTAAGAAACCGCTGATTCCCCCTCAAGAGTGGCAAAGCGCATCTCAATTGGGGCTCATGCCCACAAGAAACTGGGCTATTAAGCAGTGACAAAAAGCCATCTAGAGCAACGAATCGAAGTTTTTGCTGTTTAGGACGAAAGAAGTCAAGTTTGTGCGACTTCCTGTTGGTACCAGATATCATCCGAGGTTCCATGTGCTGACGTGACGAATGCAGGGGGTGCGGTGATACTGCATGGCAGCTTCTGTGGCATAGGGGTTGATCACCTTCATCGGACCGAGGCTGAAATGGATTCCAAAACGCACCTCAACATATGGATGACTGCTATCTGGCCGCATGCTCGCAGTGTCGCCCGTAGTGTTTCATTTTCCGACCCCAAGCGCAAAATCAAAGCCGCTCTCGAAATGGTTCCGCAACAACAATGTTCCTCCACTGCCATGCCATCGCAGTCCCCATACTTGAATCAGAGCAAAAATCTGTAGGATGATTTTCGGAGTCAAGCTGAAGGCCCAAAAGCTCACAACGAGTTCGAAAAGTCCGTCCCACTGAAGATCGCGTAGGGGAACCTCTACCAAGAAAAAACCCAATTCCATGCTTCGCCGGTGTCAAGCCGTCATAGATGAAAACGGTTCTGCGACAAAGTGCTGATGTTGTAGTTGTTAGTCTGTTATTATATAAGTTATTTTGTTATTATTTTTGAATTTTAGATAGATTGAAGTTTCGAACAAGTAATATGGTATTGGACCGAAAAAAATTAAAAATTTCTAAATTAGTATAGAAGTCACCTAGACAACTGAAAATTTGCTCCCTTATCACATATAGTGATGTGTTCTCACCTACAAAAAATCGGAACAAAAGCTTGAGTTTTGAGGGAGTTACGTTTAAAAAAGTGAAAACGAATACTTCACTGCACGGTACTGTATGCCTCTACTGAAACAACTGTGTGCAAAGTAATTTTGAAGCCACCACAGCGGAAATGAGTAGGATTTGCTTCTTCATTGCCACAACGCTTCCTTTTGGTCAAAATTCTTTTGTTGTACCTCCATATAACCTCTTCCCCACAGCAAGACACCAGCGCTAAAACCCGGCTAAGCTTTAGGCGGAGGAATATACAATTGCTCACGCAAAGTGCGTGAGCAATTCATTTTCCACGAAGTTCCGCCCCTTCCTTGGTAGTCCTGGAGGATGCTACCGTATCTTGCAATTGCGCCCTTCTGTGTTTCGTGAAAAGAAGTGGAAATTTTTTCCTAAACAAACTTAAACAGTTACAGTGAATTGTTTGTTCTCTAATCCTTCGTTGATATGCGAGGTAGCTGACTCTTATCGTTAGCTAAAACCTCATTCAATCAAGGAGAGTCACTGCGATTACTGTACGACGCTATAAAAAGGAATCAATAAATGCAAACATGTTCCATTTCAGGATCCTCCTCGTCACCCGGAGCCATTCCTCCTGTATCCGTTATCAGTGGAGTAGGACCAATCAGCACTAATAATTTGTTAAGATCATACTGGCCGGAACCACCGCCTCCATACTCTCCTCCAATTTCAAGTACTTTTATAAATACAGAGGTGGCCAAAAAAAGAGACTTCGCTCTATGTTCAAACAGCATTAATCACACTTTGCTGAACTCAAAGCGACTACTCCCGGCTCAGTATTGAAGAGCGCATCCTAATTTATCAAAAAACGCTATATTAGCTTTCTGCACCATGGCCATAACAAGAATTTGCCATGGGTACCTTGTGCACGGTTTCGAGCTCAGTTTTGGTCCTTCGGGGGATCATGGACCATTTACGACGTTATCTGAAACGCTGGTCGGAAGGGGTCTTGCATATTCAGAGCTACTGTCCCTAGGAAGCAATCCGTCAGTTAACCGATTGAAGAAATTTCGTAGCAGCTTCAGGCTGGAACGATTACTTTAGGCCTTCTTGAGCTCAACGGTGATGGAAGATGACGTCATATTTTGAGGACGAGGGCAGTGGAGAGGGCCTGCTTCTGCTTATGGGAGGACATCTAAGGGATATTTTGCCGTAAAACTTTCATCAACAGCGGCACCTGTGCGACGAAAAGTTTGATGATGTGCGCCATGAGCAAAGTGTCTTTTTTGGCCACCCCGGATGCGTATATATTTTACGACTATATTTACATATTTCGTATAAAAAAGTAGCTGAAAATTTTCAGTCACAATGGTACAACAACGAATATCAGCCGTTTCCAAAGTCACCGCCATCTGACTTCTTCATCCAAAGCGTAAATTTGTTCCGTTTTCTCTCTTTTCCATACCGTCTCTGAGCAGATGGTCAGCTTTTTGTGAAGATTGTTGCATGTCAATAGCTGGATTATTGATCAGTTATGTCTCCTTTTTGATACTGTAGAAATTCCGGATTATTCAAGAAGTTGAACACACGAAATAGCGAGCAATTTAGGGACAACCTACTTTTATCACTCAGCCACAGATTCATCACCATCACCACAATCTACACCACCACACTCATACTCACAACGTGGTACGTTAAATTTCTTACATGTATGACCTCAATTCGCACATATGGTAGCCTCAGCTTGCTTATTTTAGGTTGAGAATCATCACCACTATCCCATTACGACCGTAAGAGTTCCATCGAGTGGATGTGGTGTTAATGTCCTAACAGAAAGCACACCTAACTTCAACGTTTTTCATGGAAATGAGAATAATCTTGTTTCGGCTGAAAGCACAGGAAAGGTGGAAATCCAGAAGGAATGCGTGAATGAGTCTTTCAATTCGAACCCGGCCACATCACTGAATAAACCTATCTTAAGGTAAGCAATAGTGGCACTCCTTCGTACGGTCTTATTTTTCTGGAATTATCTTTAATATCTTTCATTTTCGACGTAACTATAATATTCAGGAGATTAACGTAATTTTGATAACTCCTCTTCCCAAATTGTATTCAATCTGAAAAATTGGCTCAATCAATTTAAATAAAATATTTTCTATTATTCACTACAGTTTTTTTTCTCTTACTGCAAACTTGGCGACACAGTACAAATTTATCGATGATCAGTTCTTCGACTCATTTGTAAAACTTCAACATTTCGGTTCTCTTGGCCCAGCCGGTTGTACTGAAGCGATCTGAATAAGTGATAATTATAAAACGCATTGCTATGTGACGGCGCTGGTGGTGGAGGGATTTCTTATCCTAGCTGTAAAAGTGCTTCCTGGAGAGTCGAGCTCGCAGAAAATCGGCACAGGTAAAAGATTATGTGCAATTCATTTTCCATGCTTTTGGACCTTCCCTTTGCATGTAAACTTTTCGCAACAGCCACTTACTGACATCCAGTCCGCCTGAGAGGCTTTTCATCTAAATGTTATAATGTTTGCTGTCCATTGTCATTATTTTTTGGCGGCTACGCTGGGGTTTTTTTGACATTGACATCAGAATCGTCATTTTAAAATTCCTGAAAACAATATCGACACATGGGTGCGATGGAGACTGACTGCTGTGGATATCGAAAAATCCGTTTTTGAGCGTTCTATCTGTTGCATTCAGAAAACGAGGAAATTACTCAAAATAAGGCGAAAATTTTTTTAAATGAGTAATGTCAAAAGTTTCAGGTGTGACAGTTTTATATTTGTTAATTTACGCTCGTTATAAATGGATGCCATTGATCAAAATCAGGTTTATCATCTACTGATAGATGCACGAATATTTTCTGGTCATTTAGTTATCGTGATGTTGCTGCTAGAATCGACCAAAGTAGCGGTGGCGATAGTAATTTTGTAGCACAGGTATCTATTTAGTCCATAGACCTCGAGTAACTACTAATTTTGAAGAATCAGAACACTATTTGAATGAATAAGATTCACCCTTGTTTCTAGGGGAAGAAGATTCAACCGCAGTCCGATGTGGAAAACAGATCGTGTTCTTTCAAATCTCGTGACCTCGCTGGTGCTGAAAACTACAAAACGAATCGTACTCATCGTATGTTTGCATAGGACGTACTACTTTCGCCTGATACATAACTACGGAAATTTTTAGGTGATCGTAAGTCCAAATCCGCTCAAGTTGTCGAGTTCCAAAAAATTACACGGAAAAAGGTTCCAGTTAAGAAGGAGAAGGTAATGTTCAAGTTTCCTTGAAGGAGCCAGAGGAAGAAGCACGGAGTTATTTTTAGGTCACAGTGTGTGATTCTCCTTCTTTACCATTGATAGAGAAAACGTCAACGGTAGATTCTCCCACAAAATATGAGGTGTGTTATGTTCTGCTTCATCACATTGACTAGTGCTTTACTTGCTCACAGTGTTTCGACATAGTTTTAACAATTTTTTGTTCTCGCTTGAACTGTGACTTTAGGTTCTTCAAAATTTAACATCTAAACCTTTGAAGAACACCACTACTATTGAAAATGTACTGGTATCAAACCGTGAGCGAGGTCAGTTTCTGTTTGAGTAATCTTTGAGTCGAGGTTTTGATTGTGATGATTCAGAACCCATGAGAGCAGCGATGGTGCACAGCGAAAGATCACGATCCAGCTCCTTTTTTCCAAGTAAGTTTAGTTGCATTGTGCAGAAGCTTCGTAGGGGCTGATCATTTCCTCAACCTTTGTTTCCGTTTCCTTTCGAATTCAAAGCTTTGATGCAGTCATTTATTCAATGTGATTTACGTTGTAGCTCGTCCGAAGCGCGCAATTGATGCTGTCGAGAAGAAGAAGCAGACGCAGGGAAACGCTTTGAATCCGACTCAACAGAGAAGACGCACCATTCGTAAACGAAGTGAATTTGGATGGATAGAAAGATCAGGTGACTTGTAGAATACTTCATGCCCTATGACGTAGATGATCTGAAGCTGATCTTTGGTGGTGAAACATGGGAAGCTTTCGCAACATGGGAAGCTGATTGTTTGATGATTATCGAAAGGTCGTTCCAGTTGTCGTTGTTTCTCGCCTAACTTGTTGGATCGAATTCGTGTTCAAGTGGATTCTGAATCTCGTTGTCGATGTATCTCTCCAGATTTACGATGTCACATCTTTCAGGTGCTTTTTACCTCTCTACTTTTATTTTTTACTTTCGCTTTTTTCCAAGTTTTTTTTTATCCAGTTGTCGGCATACATTAGTAAGTATTATGTATTACAACCCCAAAATCTCAAAATTTTATTTTTCGTCGAAACTTTGTCTATAGGGGTAATTCGGTGCCCTGATTACGAAAATGACATTCATTTTTGGCGGTGGCGCCATCTGGCGCCAGTTGGCGCCACCTTGTCACGACACATGTTTTCACCAAATTCGGTGTAAAGTTCTGTATAGGGGTTATTTGATGTCCTGATTACGAATATGACATTCGTTTTTGACATTACCGCTGTTTACCGCATACTTCCCGCTTTTCTGGGCTCTCTCACCTATACATAGCGCCTTGGGACTAAGCTTAGGGGATAGGGAGACTCGGAATGAGTGAATCAGGCACCGTGTGACGAAATGGAGCGTGTGAACAGGTCAACGTCCTATGTGTACAAGTACGCAACGGTCGTAACTTGTAGTGCGGGCGGGTCGTATTGTTCGACTGTAAGAGATGCATGAGATGAGTGGGAGTGGTTACTCTGTTTCAGAGTGACTATATACCCCCCGCTCGACGGGATTTTTGGAGGAAAAAGTGGGCGGGGTTTTGATGGAAGATGGAGATGGTGGAGGTAGGGGAAAAGGGGGTCGTATCAAATCCACCTTGGGGGAGGGGGGTCGTAAAAATTTTGCGAAAAGTACCAACGATAGGACCGACCCTGGTGTGAGATCACGTGGTAGAGGGCTCACTCACTGATATCTTTCCTCTCTCCTAAAGCTTAGTCCTGATCGCGATCTAGTCACTAGGAGGGCGCAGACGAAGAAATTAAAGCGCTAAAATGGAGCTAGCGCCAAGAATGAATGTCATATTCGTAATCTGGACACCAAATTACCCCTACCCAGAAGTTTACATCGAGTTTGGTGAAAACAACTGTCGTGACAAGGTGACGCCACCTGGCGCCAGATGGCGCCCCCGTTGAAAATGAATGTCATTTTCGTAATCAGGGCACCGAATTACCCCTATAGACAAGTTTCGACGAAAAATAAAATTTTGAGATTTTGGGGTTGTAATAGTTGAATAGTGCCCGAATTGTTTAGTTCGGTGAATGTGAACAGCTCAGGTTTTTTCTACTTCGTGATATGAAGAGATACTCAGGACATGTCTTTTCGACGCAGTAAACAGCGTACACAGTGACTGTCTTTAACATAAGTTTTTATTTCCGTAAAAAGCCATTTTTGTGGTGTAATTGGAGTGAAAATAAAGTGCTCCGCACTTTCGAGGGGTGCGATATATCAGGGCCATTGTCCACAAGCACTTCATATTGTATTCTATGTACGTTATGTTGTAGCAGTGTTTCCTGGACGGGGTATCACTAAATTGAAGGTAGCTTTGAAGATAGTAAGTGATACGTTTAGCATGGAAGTATGCTGAATATTTTAAGGGTGGTCGTTTCCCAGCAGGCATACCCTTATTGGAATTGTTCATCTTTAATGAGACGTACGATATTGCTCGTCGATGAGCACTTCTATTTGTAATTTTGTTTTCAATTTCTGTGTGAATTGGTCGTTGTGCTTAATAATCACCAGTAGATGCTTCTAATAATGTTGCACGTTCTCTCGGCAAATGTCATATTGCGTTATTTTGTGTGATTGTTTCCTGGCTCGCCAATGTAGTTTTTTAAGCCTTTTATCTGAGAGCAGAATGACAGTATTGAAGAAAAGGGGCACAAATTATTGTAGAGCCGAGATTACTTTCACACAGTTTCTCTTTATAGCCTCGCCTAAAAAAACTGTAGATTCCACAGAGACCAAAGCTACAATATCACATACTAACCAAATATGTATTACATCTTATAGGTCTGGCATATCTTCTATTCGACAATTAGACATCCGGCACCTTCTTCGTTTACATGAACCTGAAGCGCTAATGTGGGGTTTAGAAGAGAACATAACGTTGCCAACAACAGGTAAATGTTCTGCTGTTCACTTAGATTGGTTCTTTGTTTTTGAATACGCTTGAAATACTCGGTTACGAATCCATCAGACTTGTTGCTGTCATTGTTTTGTTTTTGTAAGAAAGAGTAGTAAATTTTTAATTTTTTTACTATCCCAGGAGAGGAAGCACTGCAGCGCTTTCTTTCTTCACCGAAATGTCAAGACGCATATGGTGTTCTTGGGCTCCAGGCGTCGTGCACAGAAGAAGATGTACGAAGACATTACAAAAGGCTCAGTGCGCTTTTGAACCCAGAGAAGGTGTCTTTTTATTATATATGTTAAGGCCTTTGGTTTTGTAATGTTTCTGTTCCTCTTTGATCATGTGGTTTCGATCTTTGGTTTCTACTCTAAGGCTTTCTTTTACAGAACATGCTTGAAGGAGCGGAAGAAGCGCACGAAATGATAACTAAAGCTTACCATGCTATTTCCACGCCGGAAGCGCGGAAGGAGTACAATTTTGCTCGAATCCGTCCTTGTAGGAATGAATTAGTGAGTCAACTCAATGTTCTGGCATGTTTTTAATAAGATCTGATATGCAAAGTTTTACGCTAGAAGTGATTAAATTATGATAAAGTCGCTAACCTTATTTCAGCATCATGAGATTGGAAAGTTGTGGAATCGCATTCGTGAACGTGTAGAAGAAGCTCGCAATTCCATGTACTGTGACTGTGGTCGTCGTCACTCACGAGTTGCTCTTGACATTCGTCAAAACGAAGCGCGCTATTGCCGTCGTTGCAAGACTCGTCATCCAGCTAGAGCGGTATTAAGAATTGCTGTCCTTTGAAATTTCTTGACTTTGATCTATATCATTTGCGTTACGTAGCACTATTGCCATCCTTGAAAGAAAGGCCAGGTATTATTTATCACATAATTATGATAGGTAGGAACCAATGGAGAAGTTGCATAGCCTGTTTGAATCATTCTATCTTCACTGTCTCAATGAAGTGGGGGAGGGGCTCAAGAGACTAACTTTGTACCTTCTTGCTCTCTTCAGCAGATGATATGAAGAA